ATCTTTAATTCTCGTGTGGACGTTATGTAACATGATAAAATGTACAGTTGGTGCTTTCCAGCAAAAGACACAGTGTAACAACAGTGAATATTTCATCTTTGTTTAACATTAGCAAACAATAAGAATATAATGATTCACTATGTTATACTGTGTCATCTGTGTTTCTTGCTGGAGAGTACTCACAGCCTTTTCACAAATCGTATCTTTATTAAGAGATTGCACGCGTTTATACTTCGCGATTTTCAAACTTGACTTTCTCGTAAACAAATCCTCGAACGGAAAAAGTTTATTCTGTACTTTCGACTTATTTTTGTACAAGGAATCACCTCCTCCCATCTGGTTATACTATAGATTTATCCCCATCTTTTAAGTAATACAGAATGCAACGTATTTGTAAAAAAAAATATGTCGACGTTCAGTCACTCGAATGTATTATTCCGCAAAGTAATGCAAAACGGAATTCTCAAGCAGGTAAGAATAATCGTTCTCATGAAGTATCGTGTTGCCCGAAATGATATATACAGCGTGTTTCTTCCTCGCCGGATTTCATTCCCGCGTATCTTGAAGGATTATTAATGATGGAAGGAGTACGCCGCGAGAAAAAGCGTTCTATCAAGATAAAGACTAATTCGCCCGTAATATCCGTCAAAAAAATCTCTGTTCTTATCTCCGAACAACTTCTTCCTATGATATATTCTTCAAGTCGTCAAAATATTTCGCTCGAAAGCGATATAGGTATATTTAACACACGCATACAGGGTGTCCTAGACATGATATAAGAATATAAGGTATTCCATTCCCAAGGATGCGCAGTCATCTTGAACATAGCGGCTCTTTGATCAATCAAAACATAGCTCCAAATTGTAAAAAGGAACCTGATTGCTATCATATGCGTTCCACTAACTTGGGGGCAAACATTTGATTAGTGGTTCTGATTTAATCTGCCGCTATATGCGCAATGAAATACCTTATATTTTTATACCATGGTCTTAAGGCCATGACACACACCTTCCGTAACAGTAATCATAAGACGTATCGTACACTGAAAAAAAAATTTGTTCAACTAATTGAACACATTTAGTTTGCAGATTTGGTTAATTCAACAAATTTTATTTAATTGAATTTAACCTTAGTCTGCTTAACAAGCTGTTCAATGTTAAACAGACTACAGTTAAATTCGATTAAATAAAATTTGTTGAATTAACCAGATCTGCAAACAACTAAGGCCCAGTTCCACAACTCACGGTTAACTCTTAACCGAGTTCAACTTGTTTCTCATCTCTTTCCAATTCTAGAATTGGAAAAAGACAATGAATAAGTTGAACTTCGGTTAATAATTAACTGTGAGTTGTGGAACTGGGCCTAAATGTGTTTAGTTAGTTGAACAAATTTTTTTTCTCAATGTAAGAATCAGCCAATTAGAATTAAGAGTTCAAAAGAATTCTCGACTGTGATTGGCTGATTCTTACGGTACGTCTTATGGTTAATGTTATGGAAGGTGTGTGCCATAGCCTTAAAGGTGAACGCACATAGAAGTAGAATAAGCAATAAGCAGTAAGCAGTAAAGATAAATTTTCACGAGCTCCTTAAACAGGCTGTTTCAGCGACAAAAAGGATCACGTGGTCAAAATTGACAAATATCAAGCGTCCAGTTTGATCACGAGACCCTTTTTGTCGCTGAAACAGCCGGTTTGAGCAGATCGTGAAAATTTACTTTAAGACGTAAGACCGCCATCTTTCATATGTATAGATATACTAGCAATGTTAATTGCTTACTTCATATGTCTTACTGCTTACTGCTTACTGCTTGCTGCTTACTGCTTACTGCTTGCTGCTTACTTCTACTTCTATGTGCGTTCACCTTTAGACTTCGCGTGTAACGCCCGTTAATAGTTAAATAATTCCTGAGATCATTTCAAAATCCTAATACCAAAACATGGAGGCTATAGTAGTTTTTAAATGAAAAAAATCTAAAATTAGACAATTAAACTGTCTGAAATTCGCGCGCTCAAGCATGGCACGTCATTGCACGACGGTGAAGAGTTGTGTTCAGAAACATCATTCGAGTGCAATGGGAAGCGGCAATTATATTTCGCTTATTTCTATACCATTCCTATCGCTGTTCTTGTCGCTGTTGCCTCGCATTGTGTTTAGGACTTCGAACTGTGTGTATAGGTCCCATATGACTGTAGGTGCGTTCGGGGAGACGCTATTAGCGCTATTTTTGTCACTCTATCTTTGTTGTTTATTAGACATAAAACAAGGATAGAATGAAGTAGCGCTAATAGCGTCTCCCCGAACGCACCTACAGTCATATGGGACCTAAACACACAGTTCGAAGCCCTAAACACACAGTTTGAAGCCCTAAACACAATGCGAGGCAACAGCGACGAGAACAGCGATAGGAATGGTATAGAAATAAGCGAAATATAATTACCGCCTCCCGTTGCACAATGCCGCGAAAGAAATAAAAATGCCAACCAATCCGATCTCGTATATAGACCGTAGTACATTCTTCTATCTGTTTCAAGGTTATAGCACATAAACAGAATGAAAAATCTGAACGCTGATTGGTAGGCTATAAGGCGATAGACACAGAATTCCAACTCGTCGGAAATTTATCGCTATCGCCTTATTGCGTGTTCCTATGTGCATTGACATATGGATTCCCGTATGTTGGATTCCTCTGTTCCTATCGCTATCGCTATTGCCTCGCATTGTGTCTTGGGTTTAATACGTCGATCGATTCCGAACGACGAATTGGTAGAGAAGTTTCCAAAGCAAGTATACTACTACTCGGTGGTTTGCCAGACTACATTTACACGGCACCCTTAATCGAGTTTAATAACATCCATAGTTATGAAACTGGCCAATCACAGTCGTTCCATTCTTCCGAGGAACAGCTATAATTGGCCAATATCATAACTACGGATGTCATTAAACCCGATTAAGTGTGCCATGTAACAGAGGTCATTGCTTTCCGAGAGGAGCTACGAGAGTACGAAGATTTTCGATTCTACAAGGATCAAACTCGGGATCCCTTATAGTCTGCTTAACAAGCTGTTCAATGTTAAACAGACTACGGTTAAATTCGATTAAATAAAATTTGTTGAATTAACCAAATCTGCAACCAACTAAATATGTTCAGTTAGTTGAACAAATTTTTTTTCTCAGTGTATATATAGTAATTTTGAGCGCGAACATTGGTCTGCTATACCAAAGATCCCTGGTAGCAAGCCGACGTCATTTTGATGTCATTTTGACCTCATTTTGACATCAAAATGACGACAAAATGACGTAGCTTGTTACCAGGGATCTTTGGTATAACAGACCGATGTTCGCGTTCAAAATTACTATATATACACTGAGAAAAAAAATTTTTCAACTGAACACATTTAATTGTTTGCAGATTTTATTTAATCGAATTCAACCGTAGTCTGTATAACATTGAACTGCTTGTTAAGCAGACTATAAGGTTAAATTCAATTAAATAAAATTTGTTGAATTAACCAAATCTGCAAACAACTAAATGTGTTTAGTTAGTTGAACAAATTTTTTTTCTCAGTGTAGCCTCAACATTTTGATATTAGGATTTTCGTCTTGAAATGATCTCAGGAATCTGCTATTAACGCGAAATTTGGGGCACCCTGTATATCTAGAGCGTACAATGCGTTATTTAAATAATGCTAATACCAGTAATACCCTGAAAATAAAAATCGGAGTATAAGTGAAATGAAAAGAAAGAGTGACAAAAGCGTAAACGAAACAATTGTAGGAAACGAATATTGGGACAGCAAACAATTGGGACGTAAAAAAAAATGTAAACGCCTCCTTTACATTTCGTTGTCCCAATTTTCGCCTCTTAAAAGCTTCGTTTACGCTTCTGTCACTTTTTCCTTACATTCGACTTACGCTCCGATTTTTATTCGTCATGCATAATTAATTAATCATAATTTCCATATCGCTCATTATTCTACTCCATTCTACGGGATGATTCATACTTCAGGATTATAATTTCAACAATTTCATCGGCAGAATTCGCAGATGGTCTTACTCTTCGTTTCGTTACTTCGAAACAACATGGCGAGATTAAAATGCGAAACGCTTTCGAACGAATAATATTCATATCGATTACACCTTGCTCGTCATGAGTACCGGAATTCATTGAAAGAGTAAATGATTGCGAACATAATTGCTGTTATGATTAGACTTACTTCGTTAAACGACCACAATAAATTTGTCGGCTGTCGATCACGATTACGATTTTCACAACCTTTTGTTTTTACGCGACGCGAAGGACTGAATTCAAATTTCTCAGAAGAACTTGCTTACTGACTTCTAGCGCGCGAGTTCGAAACTATTTCAGTTCGGTGGCGACATCTCTGAACAAAGTGTAGCATCATTTTCTTCTTGTCCAAAATGCTCTGAAAATCGATTATAAAACTTATTTGTTAGGAAATTATCTTTAATAATACCAATGAGGTATTATTAAAGAATAAATATAATTCCCAGATATAAAACATCTTTTTAAAACATTTTATGTCCCAAAGTCGGGACATAAGATGTTTTAAAAATGTCTCAAAATACCTTTTTAAGATATCTTATAAAATAATGTCCAAAAAAACATCTTAATGATATCTTATGACTTGATTTTGGACATACATGTCCAAGAATTACGTTTGTTTATTATAGTCTGTTATCCTCGGTACAGCTAAAACAGTTGATAATAAAATTCTTCAATTACAGTACTTCACTTTCCACGCGCATGTGCGAAATAAAGCGACATCGTTAACAACACTTGCTGCCCTCTACTTCCTTTATGGCGCTAAGGCGCCAACGTCAGATTTAAGGTTATGTAGTACCTGGTAATACTGCTATTAATTTATATATATGTTAAAAGCAGGCCATTAAGTAAAATAGAAAATATTTTTTTACAACCATACGTGGCTTGTTTAGTTACTTGTACAAAGACTACAAATTTTGACAGAATTTTGAAAAAGTACGGTGATATTTTCAACATGGAAGTAGCTCCAATGGGCAATTTGCCGTAAGTATACAAAAATATTTTTATCTCATATGATTTTGAAATATATTTTATTTTGAAAGAAACAAAAATGTTAATTTTATTATTATTATTTTGTTATGTCATTTTCCTTTACAATGATTTACAATGATTCATAAACGGTCTTGTCGATCTGTTTATATCAGAACGATATGAAAGAAATAATTAAATAATAATAATTAATTTATAAAAAGTTGTAGCAAAGATTTATGGTCTATCATATCTGGTACGACATGCTGTTGTGCTAAAGAAACTGTTGAAGAAGAAATAAAGAATGCTACTGTTTTACTCAAAGAAGGGCTTCAGTTTTTTAAGCCATATACAGATGCATCATTGCAAAGCATTTCTAAAAGAGATTCACCCCCTCTACAGCAAATGTATGATTTAATTAATAAACTTGCTCCACTCCTTGTAAGTATATTTTTTATATTTGCATAATAAACTATTTTATAGATTTTATATTTATCACAACTTATAATTTTAATATCTATGTCATATTTTTAATTTATTCAAGAACTTGGATGCCACAATTACCTGGGATCTGGTATGCAATTTCGTATCGTATGAATATAGAAATTGCGCAGAGACCTTTGCATCGCAGCTCTCGGATCTTACTTCTATAAGAGCATTAATCGATGATATTTGGAATTTTTATTACTCAGAAAGAGTGACTTTGATAAAATGCCTTAAACTTATGCTTGAATATAAAGATAACAAAAGACATCCTCATCACAAAGAATTTGGGAATTTTTTAAATGAAATTCTGATGGGAAATCTGCTTGAATCCATACGAAAACAAATAGAAGCATTGAAATTTATAAATTCTCCTACACGGTCGCAATTCTGTACAGAAGATCATTTACATCGATTATATAATAGTACTTTAATTGAAATGCGCGAGCTGCTTCATATATTGACTATGATTGTACATGATGTACATATTCCTAGTTACGAATTTGCCAAGTTTTATGGTAGCATTGGGGTAAGAGACTTGTACTTAAATTTTTATATTTTTCGTATTTTTAGAATATTAGAAATTTTGCTTAAATAATAAACATTTTTTAGGGAGAACCTAGACGATTGGTCAGTACAAAAAGTCATGAAGATAAAGAAGCTATCACTAAAAAGATTGAAGAGATACAGTACAGTCAAATGGCACTATTACTTGTAACATTAGATGTAGACAAACAGTAAGTTATTGTCATATAGTTACTTTGTGTAATTAAAATTTATATTGTGATAATTTTATTCGTATATGCATTTTATTTTATTTTTGTGTCTTTTTAGTACTGGTATGGATGATTGGATAAATGATGTCAGAAGTAATATGCAAGATATTTTTGAACATAAATGTATTCGTGAAAGTTCACCACAAGATGGACCGTTACTCTTATCATGGATGCTAGCAAATTATGCGATTGATCCAGACAATATGGACACGTTAAATCGTTTCAGACCGTTTGGCGTCAAAGCCATACAACTTGACGTATTTGAGTATCTGCGAGATTTGATAAACTGTGAAATGTTTCAAGAAGAGACCCATTACGCTGAAGTCGTCCGAAGCAGCGTTTACAATCTTCTCTCCTTGATGTGCGTCTTTGTGGATGAAGATCGGTTAAGTGCTTTAAATGGTATTTTCGATGCCCTGGCTGCCGTAATCAAGTTTCCAGAATGCGCAACTAGATTCTGGGCTGAACCATGTGACGGTATATGGTCGATTTATAAAGTTGCCAAAGAACTATATCCTTACAAATTTGAACCGTTAACTAAGATAGCTATTGGTCTGGCATCCACAACAATTACAAGTGCCAAAAAGGTAACATATAATTATACATATCGAATTTATTTCATCAAATATTTAATATCTTACTTAATTAATCTTATATTTACTATCTTAGATGAAATCAATTATTCTTTATTTAGATTGCGTCGGAGTTGAATAATCTACAATCTCTGACTATAGAGGTTCCTCGCCAAAGAGATTATAATAAGCCATTACAGCCATATAAAGCGGATTGTATAATTCAAGAGAACTCATTTACTATAACAAGCAACTGCGTGCGCGAGAATATTACCGTGTTATCTAATGAGAAAGAAGTAGTATTGTTTCGTACAAAGGCGAATTATTGGAACGCTTTGCATCATAAAATAGAACAGTTATTTTCTCAAGCAAGTCGTGGAATTACAAATATCAGCACGGTGAATGGTGGTAATTTACCGGAAAATGTTTGTCTAGGCCTAAAATTGTTGGAAGCATTATTGGCTAAAGATATTGAGATACCATCGAGCATGGTTGCTCCTACAGAGCTAAGTTTTGAAATTATTAATCGATTCTCATATCCAGCACTACCAACGAACTTGTATAAAATCGTTGCTGTATGCATCAGCATTTCATCAAAATTGGTTTTGAGGTATCCCGAAGACATTCTCTCGCGAACGCGATCCGGTGTTTATCCAAAATTTAATAATTGGAATCAAAAACCATTATACTTTGCGGAAGCGATTTCCTTCGATGGTGGTCTCATCGCATCGTGGTTATCAGGAATAGAAACCATCGAACATACGTATCCCATTTTGTGCGCGTTTCTAGACACATTGTACAATTATTTAATCACGAAGCACAGTAAAGAGGCCATGTACACTATTGAAATACCGGGCATGGTATTTCTGCTGCAAGCTGTATTACCCAAGCTGGACTCATGGTATTTTGAATCAAACGCAGAAAGAATCGATTTATGGCTGAAGAGTATGTTTTGTATTCATCGAGCTCTGGATTCAACTTTACCTAAAGATGATATTCGCAACGAATTACAACTTGTTGTAGTATATAGTCTGCTTTATTTAGAGCCGCGTCACGCACTACTGAAATTACTTCGGACAGGCGAGCGCACGTTGCACAATAAAATGATTTCGGAAACAAATTGGATCAATGGAAAAGGATTCAAGACTATCAAAAGTGTAGAACTAGCTTTGTCGATAGTCAATCGATTATTAATGTTTAGAAAATCTCTGGGTATAGAACTTGGTGACAGATCACCTCTCGAAATTGCTTTGTACTCCTCTCCGAGAGTACCTAATGGACTTCTTATAGTACCGACAATTGTTAATTATCTGTATGTTTGGTTTAGCCCTTCATTGCAGAAAATGGCTGTAAGATTACTGAAGAAATTTGCGGAGGAATTTTCCATGTCTTTGCTCGTTTGCATGGGAATGGATGGAACATCTATACGAGAAACCTTCGCGTTTCGATTAACTCTGCCAACATGCGCGATTGAAGTCAAAGTCGCTATTTTAGAATTGGTTGCCGTATGTCTAGAAAAACAACCTGGCTTAACGGAAGCTCTCTTCAACATCATGCATCAAGCAGAACGCAAGAGAATCTTCCCACGTCCAGCCGATGAATTTCTTACTGAGGGTTGTAGTCAATTCTTGGACTCATATTTAGAACGAATGTACAAGGAAGACGACATTGTGTGTGATAAATTGTACGACAGCACAATGACGGTATTGCGCGCCATGTGGTATCATAGAAATGAGATCCTTGTCAATTTCTTTCGGAAGCGAGAGAAATTCTGGAGCCATCTATTCGCGCCGCTTTTTAAAACTTTAGTGGCAGGTGCGAAGGGTTATTCTCAATTGTTAGATGTAATTACATTGGAATTATACAAAAGCCCATTATTAGAGAATAATTTCTCAAAAAGTTTAAAGGAACTGTTGGACAAATCTAAGGATCATTGGAAAAAATTAGCTATGTACGTTCTCGATGTTCCTGCAAACAGCGAAAACGAGAAAGAACGGCATACAAAGCAAGACAGACTCATAGAACCACTGTACGAAATTAATTTAGAGTCTTGGTATCACTTTATCGTTATGCTTACCGATGATCGAACGGCGAAAAACTATCCGATTAATGTGACACAGGCACATTTCCTAACTCAGTTGGCTTTGGATTCTCTATTGGAGCAAGTGAAGGAACCTAATGATTCTAGTAGTGGCAAGATTCCAATGTTATTGGCTTCTTTATCTCTGAGATGCATCACCTCTTGGAAACAGATGTGCGTCGGTGACTCGAGGATTTTTAAAACCAGACTATCGCAGTTAACGCAAGAGATAGCGCAAACTTTTCGCGGTTTTGGAAAGACCCTACGGCAGACAATGATATCGTTACTTCTTGGATGTGTGCAACTAGTCAAAAGTACTTTAGCCGAAGATTCGGCGAGCCTGGAATATCTTTTAGCGCACTCTTGCACGATCGCTATTTATGAACTAGAAGAATTGAAGAAAGCTGCCCTTCAATTGGAACATCGAAAACAGCAATTCTCTGTCACTCTTAAGACTGATGAGAAAGATACACAGAAGAAGGCTGATTGTTACAGCGCGGAGACACTCCGTGGCATACGAGAGAGTTTACCAGCGACGTTAGCTATCAGCATGGTGACACAATTGTTACGATCGTATGTTGAACGGAATGCAAATTTCAAGCATCGTCTAAGAGCTAGTTGTGTGCAACTTCGTCAGATGATACCTGAATTGATGGTATGCGTCGGTTATACTCTTCAGAAATACCCATATCTGAAGTTTAATACAGCGGCTCTGAATTTGTTGGGCGTTATATCGCGTTCACCATATTGTCCATATCCTATTAACGATAATGACATCGCGAAGCTCTGGCTGAGCTTGATTCCACCAGCAGACATCTCCAATAGTATGCTCGATTCACTGTATGATGACTCGGTAAATGGTCAGTGGCGTTGCCAGGATTGGTGGCCATTGTACACACTGGGCTTGGAATTTCTGATAGGCCTGGTTAGCAGCGAGACACACATGATGTTTGTCAATCACGTGGTTGTTTTTTTAAATTCTCACGAACATCAATTAATGGTGGTATCCACATTATTGAGGCACACTGCCGATCTGCTAGCCGCCGATCTAATTCAATCACTGGTCGCTCTCATACATGCTACAGCCACGCAAACATACATTTGGAATGCAATTCAACCAAATGTTCGCGAAACTCTTATTAAATGTATGTATTTGGCATATGATAGTACGGTGAACCTGTTGCTGAGGCCGCGGATACTTAAATTTATCATTGACGGTATCAGCGTGGAGAGTGCCGAAGAGCTCGAGTCCTGCGATAGTCGGTTACCCAGTGGTGAATTGAAACTGTTGGTGAACAAACTGATTGTCATAAATACAACCTGTGCGTTAAGCTTCGTCCACTTCTCGCCTAAGTTGAACACTCTGGTGGATACGATATATACTCAGGATTATTGGTACACGCCAATGGCCGAGATGAACTTTGGGCCTCCGCAAATGAGCATGAGCTCCGGCCCGCGGCTTACTTATGGTACGATAATCAGCTCGACGCAGCTGTTTACCCAGGCTCTTCACTCTCGTTCGCAACCCGTTGCTGCTTCATTACCCGCGTCTTCAATGTCGCAGCCTGGACGCGAAGACAAAACGGATTCTGCAAAGAAAGAATGGGAACGTGCCGCACCAGAAAATCTTCGTCGCATGCATACAAGCAAGGATTTACGACGGATAATTCACGCGGCCTCTGGTTCAACTTCCAGAACGTCATCTAACATTGGCAGAGAATTCCTAGGATACGTTAGTGGTCTAGATGTCACCGTGCCATTACTTAGCAGTCCTAGACTCGTGCGTCGACCGTATGACCCACTGATATGCGAAAACACTATTCTTTCAAGAGCAACTGCTTTGGCAACTGGTAGACACGTCACGAAGAGTAGTAGCAGTGGAGCTGCTGGCGCTCCGGGTAACAGTAGCCCAATCGTAGCAAGAAATCACAGATTTAGTGATCCATGGTTTGAGTCCATGGATGAGAACAATACACGATTAGCATTGGAAATCAATCTTATCCTGATATTGTCACAGGCTCTGGAAGGAGTAAAAAGTCCTAGGCTCGCTTTGCGAGATCGTCAACTAATAGCACGGGAAACCGCTACCGAACTGGGAGTTTTCTTCGATTTTCTCGAACACCGCGGTACTCCCGATATCTGGCAAGTAAAGGGTTCTCTCATAGATGCGGATACAAGAAGTTCCAGGACGATTCAAGATACGAGTGATCCGACGCAAACAAATTTACCAGCGAGACTTCAAAAGAACAGTACTATTGACAAAGCACCGGTGTGCTCGCCCGACCACGAAAATTCTTCAATAGAGATGAACCGAACTGAAACACAAGAGAAAAGACTTGACGATAGTGTCCTCACTACTGGCGTTTTCAAAACGAATGTCAGCAGTGTACAGTTCTTACCGTTAATGGGAAAATTACTTAAGACAGTTGTTGAGTCATTGGACTCTGCACAATTTCGATAAACAGTATTTTTCAAACATAATTCTTGATATATATAACTCATTCTCAAATGTGTGAATTCAGAATTCGAAAATTAAATCTATTAGAATGATGAACATAAACGAATATTATAAATAAATATTAAGAGCTATGTTTTTATACATTAGAAGCTATCATTTTTTGACATGATTGTAAGTAAATAATTTAACATAATTGAGCATATATAATACAATAGAGTATTTAGCGTGTATGTTATTTTGTAAAAGATAAAAAAATATTTGCAAATGTTAATTGATAATGTCGTAATAAACATATTAACTTTTTCATATATCGTGTATTGTAAATATATAGGTAGAAATATTCGATGAGGAGTAAAGAGGTCAACAGGAATTTAAAGAATATAATATTCAACGTTTCTAATTTAGCCTGTACTTTTTTATATCAACACTATTTATAAATGATGAAACATAATATAATGCGTATCCAGTAAATTAGAAATATTTCGTGTTTCTTAAATAGATTGCTAGGAAAACGTGAAAATACAAACTATATGATTTTATACACAGCCAACTACTTAACGAGGGAAACGAATTATTAGGATTGCTATTAATGCGTATTTTTTTACATTAAATAATAATGACCATGTTTCTATTAACTTTCAATTTAACTTTATCATTCAACATTTACCAGATTCCACTTTTTATCGAACTAATAAATCATTTCGCAAAGTTCCGCATGATACTTTTTACAAATTTATTGCCGATCCGAAGACAAATATCTTCGACAAATTGAATCATGATCAATTACATATTAACTATGCAATACAATGATTTATCCATGAAAATTTACAGTCGCAGTACATAATACTATTTCACTTCTCTGTCGAATACTGGCGCTCCAGTCTCCCAACAAAGTCTCTTTCGAAATGCGTTCTTCTTTTTGTATGGAATATCTCTAAGTTCATAAACAGATACAAGAAAAATAGAGAAAGCTACAATGACCCTCGCTCGTTTTGCCGCGTTTATTTTCAATTTGTATCTTTAACCTTACATACAATATATCCTCTAATCTTTCACGCAAAAGCGCGTCCTTCCGTCTTCCGTACCACTATACAACAGCGCGCACTTGCGCTAAGATTAATAATTATATTACGCGCGATACAGTATAAAAATATAATCCTTGATATTAACGAATATTATGCGTTACGACAATAGCGATGGTGCAAGTGCGGAATTAGGCACTCCGCGCAAGGACATTCGTCGCCTTTCAGGATGGACACCTGAAGGTCGGGTTAGACGCTAAGGGGGTAGATGAGGTAAAATGTTCTCGGGTGAGGGTGTATCGTGAGAATCATTGCTTCTGGATGATGTTACTCGTTGATGATAGTAATTATTTGAGACAGCAGTGGCGGCAATAGTAGCAGCAGGAACAGTAGAACTAGTGGTAACTGTATTCGTCGAGCCGAGACTTGTGACCATTGCTGTGGACGTAGTGGCTGTGGTGGTATTTATCGTTATTGTTGTAATGACTGAAGAGGTAGGTTGACTTCGGGACGCTAGACCACTCCACACTAGGGGATTTACACAACCCGATTCAGACGAAGGACAGTCCGGATGACGAGTCGATGGTGAACAATACGTCGGTGTGGTTAAAGCGCTGGAATTGCATATTGTGGACATGGTAGTCACTGCTGACGTTATTAAGGGCGGTGGTGGTGGAGGCGGTGGTGGTGGCGGTGGTGTTGGACCGTTAACATCCGCCAATGGATCAATCACGTTTCCATCCCAAGCATCTGTTGATTTGGACTCGTCGTTGTTGGTCACGCTGGTACTCGATCTTTGCCGCTTGGTATCACCATAGAGCAAACAATGAACGTTTGGTGAGCTACTGCGATCTCGCACTCCCTCTTGTTCCTCGAGGAATCGGTCCATATAGTCCCTGCTTGCGATTTAATGGTTCTGTCATTCACGTTTGCAGTAATTGTATTAATGAAAGCAATTACATTGCAAAGTGTTAATTGGGTAATGTTATTCTAGAGTGTTAGATTTAATATTTTAATAGATTGTAAGTAAAATATATCCATTACAAAAGTTCGTGTTTTAATGTAAAAGTTTGAAATTGCGATAGAGAAAATACTCACGTGATACCGGGGTGCAGAGCATATTTTTTCTTTTCTAATCGCGCTTTGTACGTAAATATGTCATGGCGCTCCGTTTTCTTCCACAAATAATAAAATTGTACTAACTCTCCGACCGATCTCGTTCTCACCTGAAGAAAGCAATGTTGCACTATAAAGTTTACTGTCAAGTTCGAGTCATCAAAATACAGCAATAACTTGTACACATTAAATTAATTGTACAATATAATTATTGTGTAATATAAAATTATGCATTTTAATTTCACTAGCAAAAAATTTCTGCAATAGTACTTTTGTTATACCGTACAATGGTAGACGCTTTTTATACGGTTGTGAAAAAATTAAGCAATAACAATATTAGCAATGCAAAATTAAACCTCAATATTTTTAATTAATAAATTGGAACTATTCTATTCTTAATGTTCACTTCAATATTTAATAAGATTTAAGGTTTAATTCTACATATATACCGTATACCTTATTTTTCTGTATAAGATGAAAATCCTTTCCATAAGTCCGCAATCCAGATTCAAAATTATGGCATTCCTCTTCTGACCAAAGACTCACTGCATCCGTAGGAGGAAGTACATTCATTCGACGTCTTCGTAATGCTTCTTCAAGGTTGTAGCCACACTGTAGTAAGAGATACAAAGCCTGCTCGTCATCTCTAATTTGTGATCCAGCCGGCAATGAGCCACCCTTTACCGCTGGAAGTTGCGCGCGTTCTAGAAACTCTTCTGTATCTTCCTCGGATATATGGCTGGGATCCCATAACATTTTATCTTCATTCTCATATGGCAACGCATCGTCGTAACGACACAAACCTTCGGGTATTGCTGCTTGGTAGTCAGTACCAACCATGATTGTTTTCTTCCATTCCTCCTCGTCTGGACTGTAGTCGCAATCGTCTTCTTCTTCTTCACTCTGCGGCCTTGAAACACTCCGTAACAATCTCGAACTGCCACTGCCTATTCCCGCACTGACTATCCTATCTTCTGGACCATCGATTGCGCCACTGGCATTACCTTCTTCGATAGTGCTATCAGTAGCATTAGCTCCCCCTAAATTAACTATAACACTGCACTCAACAGCATTAGCACTTTCCGTTGTAGGTGACGCTCTGTTTTTCTTCCTGCTTCCGGTTCGAGTGCCCGAGCAATCTTCGGTTTCGGCATCTTCATCATCGTCCTCGTCGTCATCGATTCTACGTTTCCTGTTATCCCTGCTGCCAGCACCAATGCTGCTATTGCCTTTCGTCGTTGATCCCGCTAATGCCGATGTCTTATCCTTAACCAACATTTCTGTGTAGAATTGTTTAAGGTCTGGCTCATTACTGGTTGCATCAGCCTCGTCATCGTCATCGTCGTCGTCTGCATCGTTGTCACCTTTGTCCGAGTAACGCTCCTCAGTCTCGGGATCACCACTTCCAGATGGTAGCAGCATGTGATCGGAACTGTTGGAATTCTCCGTCGAGGGATCACCGTATCCGTACATGGCAAGAAGATCTTTCAGTGGCATATCACCTTCCTTGCTCAAAGAGACAAAAATAGATCATTATTACATCGAGCGTACTTTATAGACTAAACATGGAATCTCACTACGAGAACGCACTTTGAGTCCAAAGTGTTGCGGAAACTTATCATAATTGTAATTATTTATGGGCTCGATTTTTTCATTTCTCAGGCTTGATCCTAGAATAGTCGGGATCAGAACTTTGTTACAAAGTGACAAATGTATAATATATAATGTGCAAAGTGTTAATATCAGATATAGCGGAGATATACCTTTTGCAAGTTGGACAACTCGTTGTGAGAATCCTCGCTACCTTCTAAGGCTTCTTCCTCGTCCAATGTTCGTTCGTCATCAAAATCATTTACCATCATTTCTGTTGCAGAACCCATATCATAATCTCGATCTGCCCTGTAAGGAACGCATACCATTAGAAGCGATATCGTCACGAACGCATCCTTTGCTACGTTCATTCTACATCTTTCTCGGTACACAAAACAAAGTTACAACTTCTACAGTTAGTCGCTACGTAAGTGGATGCGCACTTACATGATTCTACAATCCCTATTCACCGAGATAGGAACATAACACACAAACGGTATATACACACATCAATGCATAGACGTAGCACCGGGATGTATCACCACAATTGTACATACAACTACGTTCCCCAACAGTCTGCGTTGTGCGAGCCTTCCAACACGGAGACAGGAGTCGGTGGTGGGTTTGACTTAGCTTAGTTCGACTTCGACATTCAACGTAGGCGGGATAAAGACAGGTTTACATTCGGAACGCGGCGGGTGTCTAACCTCAATCTGACGAGTCACAGTGGTACTCACAACACAGGTGTCACAGTCTTGACACCGCGGCAACTGACATTTCACGAAACGTCACAGGATACCGGCCAGCCCGTCTCGTCGATACTTCTCGTTCACTCTATGAGACTACGCGAGTCTTTCCCTGCCGTCTTCGTTCGCAGGCGACAACAAACCCCGTCTCGACTCGGACATACGAAAAGTCAGAGACACGTAAGGCACAACATTTCAGCGAACAGGAAAACACGCGACTCGGCGACTCGCAACATCGCACAACGTATGCCACATGCGGAGATCACAAGTTTACGGGCGAATCAACCGAAAGACGCACAGTCTCCATTATTTGTATTCGTCGCATTCATTTCCCCCCGAGATATGTGTCGTGTGTTCAGAAAATGGACGCAGCCGAGTGCAGCCGAGAGCGTCGAAAAGAGTCCGCGTATGTAATTTCAAAATGCAACGTGATTGACCCGCGAACGTAACGAATAATTAAATAGAGGCATTTCGGCGTTTTGAGAGTTTCTTTATGAATATAAAGAATGGTCAAATAGCATTTCGATAATTTGGAAAAATGTATTATTTCTATTATCGAAGATTTCGACCAATTTTTAATTATTAGGGGATTGTGCATTGAAAGCCGCTATTTCTGAATTTTCCCATGGCTTGTAAATATCGTGAAATAGTTGATTTATCGATTTGGAGCCAATAATTCTTGGAGTGTTTGAGTAGGATTTTATTCAAATAAAGCTTGCAGTTGTTCATCTTCGAATGTTGTTCTTTTTTAATTGACTTGGTCGTTGTTTGTCGTGAACGTCACAATCACCACTTTTGAATCGTCGAAATGTTTACATACTGTTTCCGATGAAGCAGATTCACCATAAGTTTCCGCAAGCAATCGAATTTCAGCTGCACTTTTTCTTTAATCAAAGTAGTGTAGAAGCACACGTCGGAAAAACAATTTATCGCGTTTCATTTTAATTCGGTAATAGAAAAGCACATGTGTAAACAAAGGATGGCGTTTGTTGACTGTATTTTAGTGGGAAATGTTCACACTTTTAAAATGACATAAGTAACAGATGTCTGACCGCAGAATACGCAGCTAGAGCTATTTAAACGTGAACAGCAGCTAATTTAATCGGTGTTTATGTTATCAAATAATACTTGAATGGATAAGATTAAAGAAATTATAACTTATTAAATATAATTATATCTGTATTAATATTTAACTTCATTGAATTACTAATTTTTTAATTATTATTGAATATATGAGAAAAAAGAAAAAAATGTATATATTATATAATTAGAAATTTTAGACTGCTAATTAAATTAATCGGAACCTCATCGAAATTCGAAATTATTTTGAGATACCTTTTTTTATTTGTAATATAGATTTATTAACAGTAATAACTAATAATAATAATGTTAATCAAAACAATATTATATTAATGTTTTATTTATGAGATAAACATCGATGCTATCGTAATCGCTTATATTATATTACATTTATGATAATTGTTCATATTTTTACTATATATTGGTGCGTTCCAAAACTCATTCTAGAAAGATACTTTGACTTTCACTCCACCCACTCCACCTGTCTTTTCGTTACGTTTATTTGATACCTTCCACTCTATCTAACACATTTTAGCCATGGTCGTAATTGCATACAAGCGACCCAAGCGACTGAAACAGCGTTTCGAATATTTGACAAGGCGTGTCCATCACACGAAAAATTAGTACGAAACGTTTTGCATACGTTCTAAAGTATGCGAACGCAATAAGTGAGTGCATTCATATGTAATACGCGCGTGTAAATAATTAGTGTTTCTAATATTGTAGCACAAAAATCGCAAATTTAATAAAAATTTCACTATGAGTCATAATATATTTGTTATTAAATTTAGATCATTATTATCAGCGTACGTTTTTTTTGCAATTTACTGCTATGATTCAATTATTGGTAATAAATTTATGCAAAAAATTGAGCATCTTTGGCAAAAAGTAAAATGCTATTCAGCGTTATTATGCTACTTATTACTAGTCTGTTTATGTGATTTTTTAGTTCCAGAAGAGGAAACAATACATAAATATATATCGTTAATTGCATTACATATTGTAAAGAACTTGAATAACTGATTACCTATTTAACATCTCTATAAAACGTAAGTATAAATGAACTACAGTAAATGGAATACAGTAGAACTCTGTTTCTACTATACTCTATTTATGTCCATTTCTACCAATATAAGTATTAACTTTAATCTTGGTTTAATTTACATTTTATTCCTTTCTAATTCTTAGAACTATAGAAAGAGATAAAAAGCAAGTTAAAGATTAAATTAACATTCATATAATACTCGTTTCTGCATTTGTAGAAACGGATATTATAATGAATAAGTAACAATTATGTTACTATTAGTTGATATTTACTAGATATCAGAACTAACAAATAGTGATAGAAGAGAGAACTATACCTACCTTTGTTATCCAAACCATTTAATTATCAGAATTATCTGCTAACATATTTGAATAAATGGAATCCTGTACTGTATTATTGAATTCTTTGTTTCATTTGATATTTCACTGATTACATTTGATTTTGTTTGCAAGTGAGTCAAGATGCATTATGGAAAGAAGTCTCCCAGCATGGGAACACCATCTGTGTATTCCCATGTAACCACTACTCGCAGCAGTGCAAATCTCAGATCATCAAGGTCTGCTCGCAGTGTAAAGATTCCATGGTATCAAAAACCGATAGTGACGCATGCTTACATACTCGACATTCAAAGAGGTGCTATGTTCACTGCTATATTTTCATTGGTATGCATTTAACAAAAATAGTATTTGAAGACGCTTTCTTATAACGTATTCAAGTAATATAGAATAAATATTCTTACAGTGTCTAGCCTTTTTCACAATATGTACAGCTATTTTTGATATCTACTGTCTGTCACAAGCTGCGCCTGGTTCTACACATTATGGATATTATATCATATCATATGAATTTGTTTATGTGGGCAATCAACATAGTAAGGCTATTTTTTATTAAAAAAAATAATTTTGTAAATATAAATTTCAAAAATTGATCAATACATAAAATCTTATATTATTTTTTTCTTTTTTTCAGTTCGAAATGCTCTGATCGTGTCTGCATTGTTCTCGATGTTGGGTGGAATAGTTATCTTTGCGACTTCTTTTATATTGATCAGAGCTCTGCGAAAAGAACATGAAAAGAAAATGGTACCATGGTTGTATAGTTTTGCCATTTTCACAATTTTCCGATTCTTTGCTTTTATATTCTTCAGCATTGTAAATGATATGATATTTGCCTATAATATCATGATGTGTCTTCTATGGATAATATTTATCTGCATTTCTGCATATGGTTGGCTTATCGTTTATTCTTTATATCTCGAATTATGTGACCTAACAAGATTAGAAGATCTGGCTCATCTGCGGGTATGATATATTATTAAATTAATTATATCATAATCGTAACATATATTACAAAAATCGTATTGTTATAAACAGTAAGATTTAAATTTAAAATATGTTATTGTTTCAGATTGGTACCATGCAGTCTCTAAATGCATCAACGACACATTCTATTGCTGGTTCTCGACCTACAACGCCTCATAGTGCAGTGTCAACTATGCCTGTTAATTAAATAATGATATATACATAATACACCATACATAACTTTATACAATAGATAAAAAAGGTATTTGTATGTTTTTTGAGATATTCTATAAAAAGGAGGAATATTGTTGTTTCTCTTCTTTTTACAAAGGAAACAAATTCTTCCTACGTATATAATTTTTCACTCTTTTCTATCTTAAATTTATTTTAATAAAATCGTTTTGCAATATTTCTCTTTTTTATATAAAATTATTTTTAAAAATGATTTTTTTACTTATACATTTTTTATCAATCGAATATTTAATACATATATATATATACTTTTTTCGTTTGATATATATATATATATTTATACATATATAAGATAAAGAATGATCAAAATAATTCTTCAAATTCTCTTTTATTTATTAATAACTGCTTTTTAATAATTCTACAATGAACAGACTAATCGATATGATATATAACAATACGAATTATATAAATTCTTATGGCATTTTGCTGCTAAATATATTTGCAAAAACTTGTTGCGATATAGTTCCGTCCACGTATAAAATGATTAGATTTAAACATATATATATTGTAAGTATTTCTTATAACGTATTAACATATTCCGTCCACTTATATCGTCTTATAAAGAATAGATGAGCTTTCCTACGATATCATATTTGATTTTATAATATCGTATACATATATATAAGCTTTCTTATAATATTGAATATTTGTTATTGAAATTAATATTATATTTCACACGTTTGAAGAATATAATTATTATACTACTATTGCTACTAATATTTTTATGATTAATTTCCAAATACATCAAAGAACAACGATTAGGAATAAAACTTTTATCTTTAATTAATATATCCAATAAAGTCTTAAATTCAAGATTTTGTTTTAAAAATAAGTTAAAATTATGTTTATTGTGATATTAAAGAATAACTACACAAATGTGATACTAATATAAATATAAGATTCATTTTAAGATCGTTATAACTTAAAATCTTGCAAAACCAAGCGAATCAGATGCTGCTGTTTCCATAAATCTATAAAAATAAATCTGTTAACATATTTGACAAGGCAATTTGTTAAGTGCCAGATAAAATAAAGAAGTATCACGCAGAAATTGAAGCAAATATAATCGTTTACACAATACTTTCGCAATTTTATGTTATTATTTTGGAATTATTTTTACAGTAATTTATTTACATAATTATTAGCAGTTATACTTTTGCAGATACAAATGTTTCTTTCCGAGTATTTGAAGGTACAATTGTCAGCGCTATTCTTTTGTATGGCACCTCGTATAATCAATATCTGAAAAAAGTTCGTAAGTAAAATTCCGTAGAGAAATGATGACAAGCAGAAAAATTTATTTTGCGCACGTTAACTATAAATGCAAGCATCACAAGCCGGTATTCAAAGTCGATTCTTTGTCATAAGTACAGTCTTGCCACATATTAGCATCTTAAGACATTACTTAAGACGGTCTTAAAATAATAATGGACTAATGAATACCGATCATAATAGCTTAAAGAAATATACCAATTGGCGAGTGTCAGATGGAAATGGAAATTTCATGAGTTGAATCAATCGTTTGTGCGCTAGCAGGTCTTATCGTTTGAGAGGAGTGTCTCGATTTTAGGGATGTTTCACTCCTAGTAGCACGATCGTCTTCAGAATCGGTGTATGATTCCCGTTGTTCACTAACAACTCGGCGTCTCCTCGAGGTGTCATCTCTTGTTACTGTGTTACCGATTAACAAGATCGCTCTACCCAGTAAAGTTAACAGGAATACGCCGATCATCGACAAGATATTATGAATTATACTGAGTGCTCCAGTAGCGATGTACATAGCGATGGCCAGACACATGACGAGGGCCGCGTGGCGATAATTATCGCCATTCGCTGACACCTGAATCGCTCGATGATAACATGGTCAACGCGATATTTATTATGATACAATCTGCTAGATTCACGTGCGAGTTGTATTTTGCAATCTACTTCACTTTTGTAAGATACATAGGCACAATTTGATAAGTCAGTTACTTTTTGAAAGCAGACTATGTTAAAAAATAAGTCAAATTTTAGTTTGAAAAAAAAAATTAAAAGAAGTCATTGACTTATTAAACTGCTCTCATATGTATCGCACGGAGATACAAATGCGTTTTCATATCTTCTCATTCCTTTTTCTCATTCCTTCGCTTATGCCTTCTCCGATACGCGTACAACTTTGCGTGGTAAGGCATTTGTGTTCTCAATATAAGTAAGCATACTAGAGCGAATATCCATGTAGAGGCTGTATGGTTTAATAGCAAATTTGCTGTTTATATTAAGAGAAATTTAGAAACACTAAGTCTCAGTTCGAATCCCGGCAGAACCAGAAGTGCCCTGAGATTTTTCTCGTGTTATTGCTTACATTTGGTTCAAAAACGTATGTCAATAACGAGCGTGTATAATGCACAGGCAGCCAAAGCCCAAAGACAGCAGAGATTCATATGAATGAACATTTGGACGTATTACAAATGTGATGAGATCATAGTTTCCTGAATATTGACAACGTTTTCATTGAAATTGATTTCCCCCCTTTTTAAATCGGTCTTTAAATATAAATAACTACATAGTTGACTTATAACAAACAGAGAAAGAATTAACTTAATTATGATAAATTTTTAAATAATGGCTGGTATTCATAGTCCGTTCTTATTTCAAGATTTATGTCTTAACTTATATTTTAAGATGTTAATACGGCTCTGTAATTGAAATTTTAATTCTGTGCTTAAAGATAATTTTAAATATAAGAACCAAATATGAATATTCCTATTGTAGTAAATCCGCTAATTAAACTCTCTGTTTATAGACAGCTGAGCAAATAGAGATCATATAAAGTCTCTACTGGTCTCTACTCTCATCCTTGAAGGACGTTTCTAAGACAATTTTCTTTAAATATAAATATACTTTTTCTGAGATCTAAAAAGCAAAAATTATTTTTGTAATTGTATGTTAATTGTTTCAAGTTATTAGATATAAGAAAAAATATTCAAAATTGAGATGTAAGCTTTAAAAATCAGTAAAAATGATTATATTACACTGTAATAAAATTAAAGATCACTTCAATATTCTTATATTCGAGCGATATAAACTCGTATAAAAGTTTTTGAAATAAAAAAGGATGGCATAACATTAATAAATTATTAAGAGATATTGAAAAATCAAAGTACAAGAACAGCGGTGTCAGGGAATTGCTGTTCCAATCAACCGAATTGGATAAAGCGATGAAAATATGCAACTTGTTGCTGTCATAAAGATATTTAATATGCCTGTCATATATGCTTCTAAAAGACTTAATTAACTAATTAATTATATTTGATGATAAATTATAAGTGGGATACATTTCAAATGTATCTATAACAATAATTTACTTTATAGATATATTTTGTATACTTTGCACGACAGATAAAGTGAATTTACGCCTCGTAGAAGATAAACGAATATTTAAAAAACATTAAAAACGCTAATAAGCACAAAAGTATAATTAGTTAAAAATTACATTCTCTATGTATTTTTATATTATCTGTCAAAACTAATATAATTACATAAGAATTGACAATGTTTTCATTGCGCAACGTTACGAGTATAAATTACGCTACGAGTGTATTGTTTAAAACCTTTGAAATGCCAGCAGCTGACGTCACGAAATGTCATTAAATGTATAATTTAACTTGCATGAGTTGGAAATAAAATACGCGAGACAGATGATCCGCTTAGTTTAATCGAACTTTATGAGCATAATTTAAGGATAAATGAAAACTTTTTTCTTCCTCTTTTTCTTTTATCTTTTTTAATTAATATATTTCATGTTCTCTCTTATCTTTTTTCTTGTTTTTTGACAGAAAGTCCAATTTACAATCAAACGTTCTTCTAACTTGATTTGATTCTCTCGACGTCCCCATAAAGGGGTTGCAGACTCGCCCTCGCAAAGAAGTCACCCGGCTGATCGCGAGCGCCATCGCGCTTCTGGAAATTATCGATTTCCGCAAGCTCAGCGTTCCTTGGTGGGAAATGACGCCATGAACGACTATCCATTGGGCGGCATCGACTTTGATCTTCCTCCATTGGTCGACGAGCCGGTATAAACGGTGCTTTCTCGTGCAATTCCTTTCAGTTGTGTTGTTACCTACTTACTGTACACTTGGTAAGTGATCTATAATTTGTATTTTTGATTGTTATTATTGCTTTTTTACTAATTTGCTAATTCATTAACACTGCGCAATTAAACGGTATATTCGGCTATTTTCATTTCTATTTGCATATTTCCATTTACCTCATCAAATGTTTATTTTCCTCATCAAATCCAAAAAACCCCTTCACCCTTTGATTTGTTAATGTATTATACTATATAGATGAGTCATAAGTATGTCTTAAAATGTCATATTCCTGGATAAAAAAAGAGAACAAACGTAATTATCAAAACAGATTCTCTTGCTCCGGCATGTGTGGAAAATGATGGATGACACTCTGAGTGTATCTTTTATAAACAAAAAAATATCTACTTGAAACTTTTAAATTTAACTAAAGTTATTATTTAATACTACTATATTTGTCCATTATTTCGATAACGAAATTTGCTACCTAATGTTAATTCATAAGAATATTTGTTCTTCCTTTTTATCTATATGGAACACCCTCACAAAATTTCAAAGCATATTTATGACTCACCTTGTATATTATATTATCTACTCTTTATCAAGGATACTATAATTGTATTAGACAGGAAATTATCCTTTTATTAGCAGGTATTTAGACAAATTCGTCGCGTTTTATTAACGCTTTTAAAACTGATTACGCCTCATGAGTCAATAGTCAGATATTGAAGTAACATGATTATGTTGCGACAACGTATACTGTTGTGCGTCTGCCATATCCTAACTTTATTTTATCATGGGATTTAACCATTCGTTGGAAAATCAATATATTTGGATTGTAAATAATATTCTGCGCACATTTGGATTGTAAATGATATTCTGTGATTATCCTATCGAATCCGCAAAACGCAATAACTGATTGCATAATTATACAAATCGATATCCTGTTATTAGCAGACGATTTTCTGTATGAATATGCTTGATTGTTCGGCCGTACTAGAAGATATTTATTAGATGTTTCGATTGTATAATGTTAACGGAAAATGTAATGAATACAAAATTAAATAAAATAATTAAAAAATTGTAAAAATAACTTTTAAGAAACGCGGTCCCGATTTGATCAACACGTCGTGGTTTTTTCTAAAACTTAATAACTACGAAATAAATAGCACATATTTGACCAATTACAATTAACGTTGACCAACGTCATCCCTAATGTAAAAAAAAATCGAATGTTCTCTTCAAGTTGCAAATCGCAATCAGAAGTTTTTCCACGCACCAGTCAGCACCGTTTAGCATAAAAACATGTTTGCGAGTCAGCGGGCGATTTTGTTTTTTGCAAGCAATTTAGCGAGATGCAAGTCGCGCTGAAATGTTCGAAAAGAGATTCTACTTCGTGGAAGAGAAATGACGGAGAATTAGAAACGCTGCGTCTACGTTTCGCGATGCACTGTGTTCGCACTACGTCGATTCCAAAACGCCCATTCCGCGGCAAATAAGCTGGTAGTATAACTTTCGCGTGCGATTTTCATTTTACTTCGTCGCACATGACTCATGTTATTATCCATCGATCCCGATTCTCGCGACTGAAGCGGAGAGTTCTTCGAAAAATAATGCATGAGCTCGAACTTGACCTAGACTGAAATAATCGGGGTTGAGTCAAACAATGGTCCCCGTAAAAAGAAAAATTAAACGTGATTTCATGTAAACTGATACAATTTTGAAAAAATAAAAGGGAAGAAAAAAACGAGCAAAAGTTTTGACAAACAAAACTTATACACAGAAAAATATCATTCTACTATTAAAAAAATGATACTATTAAAAATATTTGGAACAAATAATTAACATTTAAATACAGTACTTTTCTGTGTGTGATTGAATACATACGTATTTTATATAATTATTATAAATTATAATACATAATGACGATAAAAATTCTGCGTTGGAGAACAATGCCGACAATATCTCACCATTCTTTCTATATGTACATATATATTCCATGCTTTTCTATCAACGCGATAAGGAAAATCAATACAAACCTTTTATTTTACATCGACATATTCTCGCAAGGATACCACAAAAGTTCCGCATTTCTCGAAGGCTAGCTTGATTTCTTTAAAAGGATATCAACAAGCAAACAATTAACTCTGTATATGCAATTGAAAAAAGAATCTGATTTAATTTAATTTAATTTACGTTATATATACCAGTAACAAAATTAAATTATATAAAATTAAAATTATACAAAAATTATATATATATATAATTTTTGTATAATTTTATATATATATTTTATATATATTTTTGTATAATTATATATATATATGTATACGTATGATTTAAATAATAAATGACCTCGAAATAATTTATCGAATAACTTCTAGTCTCAGCAAATTTTATTAAGTCTTCCAAATTACAGCTAAATAACATTAAAGTTCAATGACAGTTCGAAAATAAAACTCTGCCATCACTCGCAATGATAAACGCATGTGACGTTGCGGAGGCACGGCACCAACGCGGTGTTTTCGTCATGCGGTGAAAATAATTCAATTCATGGACTTTGCACTGTCTTTACGAGAATGACGACATTTGTTCTCTCTCACAGTTTTTATTAGGAAATTTCAAAACGCGCGAACGTGTTTGATGGTTGTTGGACTATGTACTGGAACTTTCAGTTCGTCTATTGCGCAATCAGCTAGCTTAACAGGACTTGATCAATCAAGTAATTCTCATATAACTCATTTACGAAGTCAAAGAAAGAGATAGAATACTACTAGATAACGCTGAACGATGCTAGCTCTCTCTCTCTCTCTCTCTCCCCTCTCTTTTAAATTTATAAAATGTGGAGGTTTCAAGTTTGCTGACGCGACGGTTTCCTCTATTGAGTGAATAATTACATACTCACGATGCACTGATTTCACCGTATAATTGTTCGTTTAAACTCAATAACAGATCAACTAGTTGCAATTGGTATTCAATAAACATTATTCTACGAAGTAAAATAATCGGACAAAGTCTGCTGATCATGCTTCGTCGCGTTCTTTGAACTCTATCATTTATTTAATCTACTTATTCATATTTCAACGTCTAGACGACACAAAATATAAACATACGATTGCTAGCATTACGACTCTAATTATTTTGGCGACTCCTTGTGTATAACGCCATATCCAAGCACAAACGATATCAAAACCGCACAAATGACGAGACATACTCATATAAAAAATATACGTATCGTTTAAGCGTCGAGTTGATTAATTATTATAATCGCAAATAAAGACGCCGATCCCTAAGCCTCTCTCCTCGGTATGGGCAACTTGGCAAGTCATCAAGCTGATCAAAGTTCTCTTCCCATCTACGACGGTCTATTTCGGTACCCGGCTAAGACTCTCTTCCGGGGGCAGAAACGAGAATACGCCCGACGCTTCTACATTACACTTCTACAACACGATCGTGGAAAATCCGTTGTCAACGTAATTAAGAGGCACGTGCCAAGTGATAACGACGTTGGCAGACGGATCTTGCCCGTCATTAATCGCGATTAGCGTTATAGTATATCATTACGATGGCTTGATAACTCTCATCCAAATATTCCAGGATTTCGTCGTGTGTGCGTGGTTCAAGATGATGACACGATATATTCACACAAGAGTGGATTTTTCACGCCGATTAATAGTCTCGAGACAAATCACCTTGTTCAATGATCGTTAATCTTTGATACATGCGCAATTCAATATGCTACCTTCGGTCGCGACGCGATATACTTTTACGCTTATCAGTACCCCAATTCTGTAACTCTTAACGATAACGATAAAGATATATGTTGTCATTACAATGAACCAAAACTGTATGTAAATAGAATAAAATATTCATTGAATTATAAAAAAATAATGAAAATTGGTCCAATGAATTCTCATAACGATTTAGATTATAAAACTATTACTATAATTCATTGCAAGAATGAATATATAGTTGTATAAATGAATCCAGTTGTATTTAATTATTATATCAATGAATTAACTACATTAAATCGGACATTGATTAACGATCATTCATTGGATCAAAAGTGAATACAATTTTTTTCAGTGTAGTGTAACTTTTTTTACTATACTGTATATAATATCTGTGTAACTACAATATGACGATACCAACACTCAACACTGACGTTAAAGAGTTACGGAATTGAAATACAACCGCTTTATTTTGTGGAATTAGAATCGCACCATAGTGCTCACTCTCTCGTGGGATAAAAGCAGCGGCTGTCAGTTTAGCGGCGACAGTCGCTAACGTTTGCATCAAGCCGATTGTTCCTCGTATCAGAATATTGTACGGCGTTCTTTTGCATTGTTTGTTCACAGGAGAATAGTATGTATAAAGAAGTTCACCATCAAGAAATCAAACACGAGTGCTCGCGATCGGGAGGACTCCACGCGTATCCCGATCATTTTAGGGAAACGTACCTTTAAGAACACACCAGTTGAATCCATGAACATCTGAAAGTTCCTGTCCTTTGGTAGGACTTTGTATATAGTGTACATAGGATCATTTGCCCAATAAAAAGAAATCCCGCTGGAAGGAAACGAGCGAGTTCAAGGGAGAAATTACTGTCACGCTGGAAAAAATTAGCCAATTTATCCAAGAATCCTGCATCATTCTTCACGAGGCATCCACGCTCACTTTTAACAGCACGCATCAGCAGTAATAAGAGGGAAAAAGATCTTGGAAGAGTGACCGAACAGCGGAAATTATGAAGCAAGGAATGTCGGACGACTTTTCACTTGGCGTGAAATTACTTACCGCAGGCACCGCAGCCTGCATCGCCGATTTAGCCACCTTTCCGTTAGACACCGCCAAAGTTAGAATGCAGGTGAGTAAAGTAATAATAATTCTACTTGAATTATTCCTTCGAAACAATCGCGTGTTGTCTCGTTGCATCTTTTCATTCACCGTTCTAGAAATCAAATTATTTCTTTCACGATCGAAATGATTTTTCTTCAAGATCGCGGGGGAAGGCCAAGCCCTGTTGCTGGCATCAGCGGAAGGATCGGTCTTTGCAGTAAGAACGAGCCAATCAGGATTGTTCCAGACCGTCGCAAACATCGTCAGATACGAAGGCGCAAAGTACGTTGTTCATTATCCTAATAGTAATTTAAGAAACGATGGTAGGTAGGACAACTTTATTTGCGCTATTAACATTTGTACATAATATTGTAATATATACAGAATCTGTAAATGCAGGACTTCCTCTTGCCTAAGAGTGATAATTCAATTTAAAGCTTATAAAAAATATTTATAAAGCAATCGCTCGTTGATATATATAATAACTATTTTATATTCAACCATCGCTCTCTCTGAAATAATAATATACGGTACTTTTTTTTTCGTAATACACAAACTATTATTAACCAGATTTTTCGTTTCGGCGTGTACCAGATTGAGCTGATTAATCTTTTTCTCGTTTATTAATTAAATTACACGTATAAATATGCTAAATATAAACAAATCTATTAAAAATTAATTCAGAATACAATTTATTAAATGTGTAACTTTAAAATTTTTACATAAAGGTAATCACAAATTATGTGTTCCATTAAAATATAAAAAATACTTATTTATATTTCATTTGGTACTTCAATGGTGTTTATCATAGATATTTATATTTATATCACATAGAAAAGCCTCGCTTAAACGACGCGCGCGTATACTGATTAACTTAACTTATTTAACTGTTTTTCATTCTGATGTATTGTTAGTAAAGAAAGGAAAAAATATTAGCGGCTTATCGTGTTTTTATTAAGATTTTGCTCGATATCTGGCACATGTACGTACAATAACTGCTTATTTTGGAAAACTTTCTAGACTCTTACGATTAATCTCTGAATAAGTATGATTTTTATTTCATCCTCCAGTCAGATGCCATGGACAAGTGCTCACTTACGTAGAACAATTTTTGCGCACAAGCAAAGTAGATAGAGGAATGCAACTATCTTCCAAGGATTACACATTATATCCAATGAAGGTCGAAATATGTAAAACGAAACTAGTACAAGTTTAATGAGACTTGTCGATGGTATTTCCTGTAGCAATTCCTTTTACCATTTTATTACTTTTACGGATCATTCTTTTACTTCTATTTTGCACGGGTTGTCTTTAGCGTCTCTTTTTCCGCTATTCGAAAAATTAACCGAATTATTCGATCTGTTTCGTTTCTTTTGTACAAAATATTTATAAATTTTAAATTAATTTGTACAATAAAAAGAATTCGTGACGATTGATACGTACAAACGTGGATACGTGATGCTTCGCGTAAACTTTTTTTGTACGGCGCATAAATGTCACGAAACTTCTTCCTATATCTTCTGATAGTCGTTTCTTCAGTGAAGCTGCTTATAAAATTTCGTAAGACAACCTACTTATCCCTCTTACATATCTCCTCTTTGCGATATATTTCTCTTAAGTTCTCACGTAGTTTCTCTCTTTTCTTTCTCACTTTCTCTTTTTGATTTTATTTCATTTACTTTGCTTATATATTTATATACATACAATGACTTACTTTCCTAATCACCGGTGCCTTCTTCCTCTCTATTTTTGAACGTGATACAACATTAAAATGCGCGGTCAACGTGACAAATAATGCACGCTCTCTCTTGGTTATTTCTCAGCTCTCGGATTACTTCTCTTTTCTCTCGCGTCTTCGAACTATGAACTTTATTAACGAGTAATATTCACTTTCGCTTCAAAACATTTAATATGTAAAATATCTATATTGTAAAAAAAATGAGGTGCGAAATCGCGCGGATAGGAAAAAGGCGAAGAGAAAAAAAGGAAAAATTACGCAATATTTGCGTAAAAAAAAGCGAATAATATTTTTTTAAAAACATTGAGATATAGAGAGAGAAAGAGAGAGAGAGAGAGAGAGAGAAATGTATACAAACGATGCCCTGGAAACGAGTTTGAGGGTGAATTGTGAGGGCGGTGTGCTTGAGCGAGGGTGGTTACAGGAGCCTGTACGGAGGTCTATCCGCGGGACTCCAGAGACAGATGTGTTTCGCCAGCATACGGTTGGGCCTCTACGACAGCGTGAAGTCACTCTACGCTGGAATCTTCGACGGTACAGCCAACAAACTCCTAACTTTTGATAATATATCTTCTATGATATATACGAGAGTAGCCGTGCGCGCGCGTTACAATTTCGCCAATTCCTTAAACGCGTGTATAATATACATTCATATATCTTTTACATATACAATAAAACGCACGTTTTGTAAATTAATATTAATATTAAACATACACGTAACATGCAAACATATCGGTATTAGACAATTTTAATGAATCACAATTGTAAAATTATATTTGAAATATATTTTTATATATTCACAAATATTCTTTGATGATTAAATTCTTGCCAATTATCTTAATTTTATTAATTAGAGAAAACATAAATACTATAAAAAATAGTCAAGAATGTCTAATACTAAATGTCTAACGTTATATACATAGACATGCATATTCATATCGACTCGTTTTATCATGGCGAAAACTCTCGTAAACCTCACGCGCGAATCGTCTAGAATCGTCTTGGTACGTTCCTCGTTCTCATTTCTGTCATTTTTGAAATTGAGAAAGGAGGAAAGGAGGGGAATGAAAGAACAAAGAATAAGGTCAGAAAATGGAAATGGGAGAGCTAAAAGATTGAATGTACAGCAAAGGCGAGGATTTGAATTCTGATCTTTTGTAACTCTTACTCTTTGCATTGAATAAGACTGTTATCTATATATTATATTATGCATTTTACTCCGCTTACATTTGCAAAGAAGTTTTAACTCCTTAAAATACAGCATTCAAACTGTTATCTTTCTTGCAAAGTTTTTTAAATACATTTGTTGCAATTATATTTGCTTGGATGTAATAAATTAAAATAATTCATCTTTGATATATTGCTGAGACTTTTCTAAAATTTTGCTCAATCAGATATGTTTATATATAGTCTTGCTATTCAATTGCTGTATCTACTTTTTTTATTTTTCGGTATCATTATGTTCATGAATTTTACAGTTATTTTTAAAAGTTCTCAAAAACGTATGTAAAAATTAATTTAAAAATTCTATGATTTACTTATAGTTCATTTGTATATGCATCAATATAATACATATTCTAAAATGTTTTTTACCTAATTTTAAATAGCATTCAGTTTTGAATTTTTACATTTATCGATGATTTAAATGTAAATTATATAATTTATGTTATCTAAAATAACCTATTGTAACTGTTATGTTTATTTTGTAGCTGGATATCCAGACAAGTATCAATAACTTTGTTAAAAAACAAGACTTTTATTAAATAAATAAAAAATTTGCATCTATACATCCTATGCTGGCTCAAATAGACTTGTTTACTTTCTTTAAAAAAAAACAAGACATAATGAATTTATACGCAAATTTTATAATCTCAAATTCAAAATAGAATTTTGAAATTGTACCGTTTTTCAATGTTTACAGAAAATTTAATTGATTTGTTTTCATTATCTCGATATAATCGACAAGTTGATTTATATTTTTGGGATTGCTCGCGGTACAACATCATCGGTCCTCTATAATTTATTATTTATTATTAATGTCAAAGTGATTGTGAAAAGCTTGCTAACGCTTATGAATATTAAAGACATTAAAACCGATTTTGATTGTAATTGGTGAATATTAAATGAGAGGTAAAAGTAATCAACGCACAATTTGCGTCGATTTTATATTGCTTCTTAATTTTTAAATTATCTGTCAAAGATTAGTTCTTCATCGTGCGTTTTTATTTCAACAGGTAACAATAAGAGTGGTACATCGATGAACATTGGCGTACGTGTTGCCGCGGGAATCACGACGGGCGCTTTGGCAGTGATGATTGCTCAGCCGACCGACGTCGTTAAAATCCGCATGCAGGCTGGGAATAATGGGCGATCATCGGTAAGGTATAGCTCCACCCTGCAGGCGTACAAGAGTATCGCCAGTGGAGAAGGCGCGAAAGGTCTTTGGAAAGGTGAGTCTTCCTATAGAGTAGAAATATTTTCAATTTTAGAAACTTCTTTTATTATTTATAAAATTTTTTAATGATTACACAAACTATTAGATAAAACAAAATAAGACATTTTTTTTAATATCGTGAAAAGTAATCCGAATCCTCTATTTCGTCGCACATATAGGAACCATGCCGAATGTTTCACGGAACGCTATCGTGAACGTGTCGGAGATAGTCTGTTACGACATCATCAAGGACCTCATCCTGGCTAGTGGTTATCTCCGTGACGGGATACCGTGTCACTTGACCGCCGCAACGGCCGCAGGACTCTGCACCACCCTGGCGGCGAGTCCCGTGGACGTCGTGAAGACGCGTTACATGAACAGCGCCGCTGGCGAGTACAAGGGCGCGATAGACTGCGCTATCAAGACCTTCGTCCAGGAAGGCCCCACCGCGTTCTATAAAGGTTTCGTACCGAGTTTCTCGCGCCTAGTATCCTGGAACATCGTATTGTGGGTGACCTATGAGCAGATGAAGTTGCACATGAGGAAGCTATATGGCATCGAGTGAAAAGTCCTCGATTACTTACCAAACCCGATTATTCTGCCGAACCAGCGCGAAGATCGGTATAATCCATTGTAATTTCTTGTGTTACCTTGTCGAAATTCATATTTCCGTAGAATATTAGCGTTTGTTTAGATAAACCGTATGAATCAAACGTAGATAGAACTGAAAGCTTGATATTCCAAAATGCAATTTCAGCCGATGGTAATCGCCGATGGAATATCCTCTTATTACTGCTTTCCTAAATGCAAGTGTGCGCACACGGCGTTCATCGTCGAATCATTCAACGATAAGAGATTAATCGTAGATCAACAAAAATTATTTGCACCGGAAATAGTAAACAATAGTGATAGGAGCTATAATTTCATTCAGTACTTTAGTTACTTTAGTTTTTATTAAGAACAGTAAGGATTTTTTAATAATTTGTATGAAACAAATTTGAATTCCGTCAGAAAGCTTTATATATTTATAAGGCGTTAGGCTATTTTAAGATGGATTATACAATGATTACACAAATCGTTAACGCGCCAAACAGACAATAATATTATCAAAATTCATTCCGATGTTTTTACTTAAATTTCTCTCTATATTAGAGTCTCTTGAGAAACTGTGATCACAAAATAACGAATTTTCTTTTTAGCGTCACTTTAATTAAGTGATCATTCATGAACGTAGCGTGTAATTTTTGCATACAATATAATCTCGTTTCAGTCTACAATTTATACTACAGAGCACAATTTATATCGTAAATCAACGATTTTTTAAACTACATGTCATATACTAAGAAAAAAATTAATTATCTTTATTTTTTTCGTTGAAGAATGTATGTATTTAAGTAAAATATAATATATGTCTGACTAAAATACATACATTCATTATCAATAAAGACGAATTAAATTAATTTAATCAAATAAATAATTTTTTTCTCAGTATACAAATAATTTAGTCTGCAAGGAGCATTCGGAGAATCTCTATTACAGATGAAAATTATACATTATAGAAATATTTGTTATTTATAATGAAATACAATCATTGCCAACTCTCATAGAATGATGATGTGATTTGAGATATAATCCGCGCGACATATCCGTATCGTCGAATTTCGATGACGAAAACTATTTCGTTTTAAAATAATACGTATAGTATACGTACAAGTACTGATTATGCTTAATTGGATACAATATGTTTCTATCAAGAATTACATTTTTCTAAAAATTTGCTTGGAATAATAAAGAAATGATCCGTTAAATTATAGTAATACAAGCAACAAGTAGCACAGCAGTGTATGCAAAGCGCTAAAAAAAGCGCATATAAGCGCTACATTAAAAAGCGCGACGTAATAATAGTCGCAAACTTACAATTAGCATTATATTAATACGCATGTAAAGATCTCGTCGAAAATTTAATCCGTGGAACACAAATAATTACTTCAGGAAATGCTTAGGGAGATTTTATAAATTTACAGGGAATCACAACTCATTAACATTTATTTCCTATATTTATATGATTATGTGTACAAAGTATAGAGCGAGGTACCGTGTTAGGGAATGATACAGTTCCCTTATTTTTTGTATTATCTAAATCTATTTTGTTTTAAACTGATTCAAATTTCCCAAAAATGTGTGTGTGTGTAAAGCTTTCTAGATATCATTGTTTTTATCACTGCTTAGATCTTAGATGATGATTTTATGATATAATTTCAACTTTCGAAACTTTTATTTCGAAATTGAATAACCATACTTAGGTAATATTCACGTATTAAATCACGTATTAAAATAATCTATAGCAAACATAATCTCGTTTACTATGGAAACTTAATTTACGAAATATATTGATGTCCAAGATATGTACAAATATACTTTACGATATGTAGATAGTATTTTCATAGCTTTAAATGTTACCAGTTTTAAATAAATATTGTTTGAAATATTTCTTTTCGTGAAGTATTGTTTTGTACTATACTATTGTATAATATTTTATTCAGAATAGAAATAAGTTTTATATTAAATTTTAAATTTAAAAGTGCACGAGAGTAAATATTTGTAATAAATTTTGTTGTTAAAATAGCTACTTTGATATTTGACTGAGGTGCAGTTCCTTAAGTCTCGAAATCGGAATCAATGGATTCACTACTAGAAGATACGTCGTTGTTCATGCATCTTGATTCCACGGGAATACGTTTCTCCACAGGAATTCTAAAAAGAGTAACAGGCACAATTAACAAGAAACATATTGAATGATAGGCTGATTGAAAAATAAGCGAACTATCGATTAACTTTAAGAGTAATGGATGTATTAAATTAAGTGACAGCTCTTTTCACTTACTAGCTATATTATCATTAATTTACAGAAATATTGTTAGTTCGATTGATAACGAGAGAAAGGGCAACATGTTTTGATACTCAACAATTTATAACGAAAGCATTAAGTTAACAATGCGCGCACACGAATGGTCACACACAAATCTTGCCTTATAATACAATTGTTTATTTATCTCATTTGCTAAGAAAACGCTGTGATATGATGTATAGCATGTTTATCTTGAATGCATTTCGGTATCTTCCGTGACTTTCGTAAAACACACATTCTCGGACAACAGGCTTGCTCTGTTGATCTATATTGAATAATATATCATTCTGTAAAACCTTTTATTCTAACCCGTAGAAAGTTAAAACTTAGAAAAATTATTCTTTCTAAAAACGATCTTGGAAAATAATTTTGCCGATTAAATACAATTCCTGGAAGTACACTTCTAAATATTTTCTAAGTTTTCTTTTTTTAATATAAGTGTTCTCAATCAAATGTATTTCAACAAATTTATGTTTAAGTCGATTTATACTGAAATGAATTAATAACAATTCTGTACGTACTTTCCGATGACCCAATCGTCACCGCCATCCTTCATCATAGATAAAGCTTGGCAGAAATCTCTTCCAATAGCTTTGAGATGCTCTGTGTCGAGATGTAATCCCGCCAATACGCCTTGATCGCATCCGCAAAAACTGCTTTCCATCGTATAACTTCTGTTTGAATAAAACCGAGACATAGTGACATTTTTTCAATCACAGCTTTGCAATATCATTAATGCAGTAATATTGACTTTTATAAATGTAACTATAAAAGGAAACGTTTCACCAAGTTAATGTTAATAAATTAAATGTAAATCTTACAATTTAAGTTGCTAAAGAACAGATTTTTTTACAAACACACGTAACCTCGACCTTGCTACACGAAATCTCATTGCGAGCCAGATCTCAATCTGCTCAGGATATAGCCGTCGTTTACCTCGGAACACCCAACTGCCTCCATACAGCGACCCTGGCGGTGGACTCCTTGTTCCTTTCGACCTTGAAGGAGCAAAGTGGCAAAGCGAAAGCCGGTGAGATCCTCTGCATGAGATGCGGTAACATCTGACACAGAAAGAGAGTCGCAAAGATTACGAGATCGCATTTGAAGGCTTTAACGAGAATCAAGGTTTCGTGGTTCAAGAAGAGAAATACTTTCTCGGAGCACTTTCTCAGTAACGCTCTAACTAATGACATTAATGTGGCAGAGCGACGAGCGAAATGAATAGGCAGCTGTCGGCGAGTAATTGCTCGTGTAAATCGAAAGTTCACATTGAATGGACGATCGTTGAAAGTGATAAACGTTTGCCGAGCTGGTCCGGTGGCAGGTAAACGTAGGATAAATGATGCCGCGCGAGATCTAAAAATATTACCTAGCCTCGATTCTCTTCCGTTGATTCCCTTACCAAATACTGCACCGGCTGGTCCGGTTTCGCCCTGTCCGCGGCGCTCCAGGAACCCGACCTTGAACAACCGAACAGAAACACGTTCTTCCTCCGCGAATGGCCGTGATAGTCAACGAAAACGTGGGGCGGTCTCTGCAGCACCCTGGCGCAGTACTCCATCAGGCCTTTCGTGTGATAGATCACCGGATGATACATTCGATTGGGATTGCTCCAGCGTCGATTCAGGTCCTCGTTCGTCAGACCGTATCGATTGCTGCAGCAAACGAAAGCATGTCGTACAGATTCAAAAACAGACAACAAGAGGAATCGATTCTAGTATAAATGAAACCGGACACCGGTTCTAACCGGACACTTTACAGAATGCTGCGATCACGAACATCGCGATCGTTAAAACGCTGAAATTGTTAAAAATCGCATTCGCCGTTGCCCACATGTAACGTACCACGTCGTCAATTATCTCGCGAGACTGGAAATTCCGAGCTAACTCTTTCCGATGTGACATATATTTCCTACTTATTTTTACGGCTTCACTTCGTTTCAACATGGATGAGAAACGTATGGATTTCGAACGACTCCATAATGAGGTAATCTTAACGTCTTCGAGCGTTTTCGCTGAGCGAGGATATCAGAAATATTTATGCGTCTCTCAGAGAGAAGTAATCTACAAGCATTATTTATTAACCAATTCCCTAAGATGCTCTCTCAAATTCGCGACATAAAATATACGTATGTATGTCCGGTAATTTCCTAACGTTCGCTAAAAGTATTCCCTTCAAACATGTTATGTGCATAGGTGTGTTGCGATGGATTACGCAATGGCGACGATTCGTCTTGATATATCGTTTGCGATCTGTGATCGAAAAGCGGAGGGGACCTTGTGAAAGATCATTTTCATTTAAGAATTCAACCGCAGTTGGAAGGACGTTTCCGGTGGCCGGAAACCGAGTCAAAGGAAGTGACGCCTTCGTGTCGCGCATAGCTAATAGCGGGGCATGGCAGGTGACAACCGTCGCTTGAATTATGGCTGTCGTCTTGACGTCATCTCTTGATGTACCTATCGTCCCGTACTAATATCTCGATCTACGTCATAAGTGGGTAGCGAATATCAAGTAGATAGCGTCGATAGTAAGGTAACATTGCACGCGGATACTTGTAACACATTTAACTCCATTGGCGGATTCAGAAATTTGTCAAGGGGAGAGGGCTATGCGGCTCACCGCAAACGAAATATTTTTTTAAGATCATCAATTATGTTTATAAAAAAAGGATATTAAATTTATTATTTAAATTACATTTAAAAAATATTATTTAAATGTACATTTCATAAAACATTTTATTTAAAATTGTCTTAATATAAAAGAAAAATAATATGATAGAATCTAAAAAAAAAAATATGTTTTTTATATCTAGGAGTTTCTTAAATTAAAAAATATTTTTGGAATATCAAAATTGTGATTAAACATTTAAAACATATATATATTTTTTGTTATAAATATTTTTTGTTATAAAAAAGGAAACTCCAAGGAGAAAAAGAGGGCCAAGACTCCCGTGAATCCGTTTCACTCAAGTTCCGCGAAAGGACATTGAGAGATTGATTTAGAAATTTTTTGACAGATATTTTTAGCCGCTATTAACAGCAGCGTAAGGATTGTTTATTTATATTAACTCAATTTAAACGCGAAAGCACATGACGAAAGCGACGACTGCCGTCCATATTCTGTATGGTGTACGCTTGATGGTGTCCCACCAAGAGAGAGAGAGGACGTTCACCGGCGCGCCACGTTCGCAGAAGCTGACAGCGAAAGAGGACAGTCATTCGAGATAATAGATCTCATCATGCGCATGCAACGCCAAAAAAGCGGTCGCGCCGCGCGCGTTTCAGAACGCGCACCGAAACGAAATCGCGCGAAGAAGCGCAACGCTTCGTCAGGTAATGCCATTAACATTCAACATCTGACGGGCAAAAGCATCCGCGAAT